AGCTGGTTTCTTTCCCTGTAAATATCTCATATTTTAGTACCGCTTTCCTACCTTACCTGGTGAGCAGACACACTTTCTTCCTCATCACTGTGATGAAGAATTTGTCTTAGAAAAATGGCTCCTGTTTCAATCTCATCGCCACTGACTTCTCCAATAAGGGCTGCTTAATCTACATGACCTCAGAGTAACCTTCCCTCCAAAATGGTTCCAGTCTTGTGAATGTGTATGGGTAGGCATTTTCCTGTGAAAAGACCCAGAGTATCCGTCACCTTTTCAAAGAGGCCTTCTCTAAAAATAAAATAATAAAATCAATAGCAGCAGCATCTCTTTTTGAATGTCCTGTAAGTGCTAGGCTCTCTGCTGGCACTTACATTCATAACCTCGTTGTACTCTTACAGTGGGGCTGTGAAGTAGGTGCTAATATTATTTCCACCTACACAGCTTAAGTTAAGTAACCTGCAGGTAACTGAAAAGTCTCTAGGTTTTCTCTTCATATCCTCCCCCTTTTTTGAGATGAATTTACAGAACATAAAATTAGCCGTTTTAGAGTGTGCGATTCAGTGGCATCTAGTACATTCACGGTGCCCTGTAACCATCACCTCTATCTAGTTCCAGAGCATTTTCCTCATGCCCAACGAAGTCCCTGGACCCATGTGCCACTCCTGTCTCCCCTCCCCCAAGCCTTGGCAATTGCCAGTCTGCTTTCTGTCTCTATGGATTTACCTATTCTGGATAATTCATATAAATGGAATCAGTCTCGCCTCTTCATTTTCATCATGTTTTCAACGTTCATCCACACTGTGACCTGTATCAGCACTTCATTCCTAGTGAGATCTAATAACATCCCATTGGATGGGTAGACCACATTTTGTTTATCCGTTCATCCAGTGATGGGCAATTGGGCTGTTTCCACCTGCTGCCCGTTGTGGATAGTGCTGCTACGAGCATGTGTGCACATGTACTTGTTTGAGTGCCTGTTTTCATTTCTTCTGGATATTTGCCTAGGAATGGAATTGCTGGGTCATTTGGTAATTCAATACTTAACTTTTTGAGGAACTGCCGCACTGTTTTCCACAGTGGCTGCACCATTTTATATTTCTTTTTTATTTTTATTTAAGTTTTATTTTTTAAAACATATTTTTATTGATTTCAGAGAGGAAGGGAGAGGGAGAGAGATAGATACATCAATAATGAGAGAGAATCACTGATCAATCAGCTGCCTCCTGCATGTCCCCACTGGGGATCGAGCCCGCAACCCGGGCATGTGGGTATCGAACCCGTGACCTCCTGGTTTATAGGCCGACGCTCAACCACTGAGCCACGCCGGCAAGGCATGCACCATTTTATATTTCCACCAGCAATGTGTGAGAGTTCTAATTTCCTCATATCCTCGATGACACTTGCTTTCCTCTTCTTTGGTTTAAATGGTAGCTGTCCTAGTGGGTGTGGAGGGGGATCTCGCTGTGGTTCTGATGTGCACTTCCCTAATGACTAATGATGTGGAGCATCTTTTCCTGTACTTGTTAGTCATTTGCATCTCTTCTTTGGAGAAATGTTTCTTCAAGTCGTTTGCCCATTTTCTTTTTAAGGTGTAAGAGTTCTTTACATATTCTGGATACTAGGTTCTTATCAACATATGATTTGTAAATATTTCCCCCCATTCTGTAGGTTGACTTCATTTTCTTAATAGTATCCTTTGATGCACAAAAGTTTAAAATGTTTATGATGTTCAATTTATCTATTTTTTTTCATTTGTTACTTGTGCCTTTGGTGTCATATCTAAGAATCTACTATAAATCTAAGGTCATGAAGATTTCCCCCTGAGTTTTAGTATGTGGCTTTTATAGTTTTAAGGTTTCCATGTAGGTCTGTGTTCTATTTTGAGTTAATCTTGTATATGGTAGGAGCGAGTGTGTGTAACTTCATTCTTTTGCATGTAAATACCCAGTTATCCCAGCACCTTCACCGCCCTTTGTGGGGGGTGGGGAGGGTGCGCTTGTTTCTTAGGGCAGAACCAGGTTTTACTCCACTTTTTCTCTGCCTTCCTCCATGCCTTGGCCAGTGCCTAGCACATGGCGAGGCCTCTCTGGTGAGTGGGCATTGCTAGAATAAGTGAATGTAAGTGCCTGAGCCCTCTGTCCTATCCCAAGAGCCAGCAAGTGCAAGTGCAGGCTGAGTGACCCGGTATTCTTCTTCCATCCACAGGTGCAGCCAGTGTCATTGTCGGCTACCCTCTGGACACGGTCAAGGTACGATGGCCCTGTTCATCATTACCTGTTGGAAAGGGCCTGGAGTGAGTCTGCCTGCTGTGTCTGATCCCGTCTCCAGCCTACGGCAGGCTCTCTGTGCCAGTTCGTGGGGGTGTGGTGCCAGGAGGCCTGGTTTGGAATGGCTCTACCCTCATTGCTTGGCAGTGATTTTGTTTTGACGAATGTCTCGTTTCTGCCTCTAGGTTCTCATGAGCTGTGGGGGTGGGGGACGGCACTGGCGAGAGTCCTGTAAGCCCCTGGGGACTAAGGAACCAGGAAAGACTTCAAGTGTGACTTGGCCTCTGAGCCCCAAATGTAAGGCTGGGTTCTAGGTGATGAGAAATGGGCACTGAGCTGGGGACACTGCGTGGGGCGTACCTGGGAAAGACCGGCACGGCCAGTTTGCTGACACACCAGGTTTCTGACAGCAGCTACGGATCTGAAGCCAGGACAGGGAGGTCGGCACTCAGCCCTCGGAGGCCTTGGGTGTCAGGGTAGGACTCTGGACCTGGGCTGGGAAGGGGAAGCCGTTATGAGCTGAGGGAGCTCACGTGGTGTGAGGACTCTGGAGCCAGCAGGGCCATCTGGCATGGGGTCACTCAGCCCCTAGATCAGGGGTGGGCAAACTTTTTGACTCGAGGGCCACAATGGGTTCTTAAACTGGACTGGAGGGCCGGAACAAAAGCATGGATGGAGTGTTTGTGTGAACTAATATAAATTCAAAGTAAACATCATTACATAAAAGGGTACGGTCTTTTTTTTTTTTTTAAGTTTTATTCATTTCAAACGGCCGGATCCGGCCCGCGGGCCGTAGTTTGCCCATGGCTGCCCTAGATCCACAGATGTAGAAGCTGGCTCAGAGCGGGGAGGGCTGGCCTCAGGTCACACAGCAAGGAGTGAGCTACTACAAGAAGCACTTGTTAAAAAAAATATTTTTTATTGATTTCAGAGAGAGAGAGAGAGATAGAAACATCAACAATGAGAGAGAACCATTGATTGGATGCCTCCTGCAAGCCCCACACTGGGGATAGAGCCTGCGACCCAGGCATGTGCCCTGACCAGGAATAGGACCATGGCCTCCTGGTTCATAGGTCAATGCTCAACCACTAGCAATGCCGGCCGGGCAGGAGCATTTTTTTTTTTAAAACAAAAAGCCAAGTTTATTTGCTCATTTCTTGCGTTTGAAGTACTCCTTGATGACACCCTGAGCCTGAGACTCTTTGCCATAGTCCTTAACCACCACGCAGCTGCAACCAACCACTTTACGGTGTTTCCCTCTCTGTCGACTTTACAGAGGCCACCATTCCCCTAGTTTCTTGTCGTCAACCTTAATTAGGGTGATTTGGTGTCAGCACAAAGAGCCTCCCCCAACTGGACGTAATAGGCTCATCACAGCTGGATGCAAGTACAAAGGGGGGCTTGGCCCTTGTCTGAGGCTTTGGCAGCTTCGAGAATTCCGCGCTAGGCCATGGTGGGTGAGGGCGGTCTTCAGCACCTCTTGCAGAGCAGTATTAACGTCCATTACACCCCCAGCAGCCATGCCTTCCTCGGCCATGGCAGTGGGTTATGGGTAGAGCCGAATCTTGAACGCACCCAAGTCTCCGCCTCTGCGTAACTCCGCGGTGACAGGGGAAGAGGAGCATTTTTTGACTCCACTCCCACCCCTGCCACCTGTCCCCAGAGGTGAGCAGGACTCGGAGCCATACTCTGGGAGCATGGCCACAAACAGTGACATCCAGATCTAAATATAAAGCTCTGCTCGGGTCACACACAAAGAGGAGCCTCGAGGCCCTTCTCACAGGGCTGCTGCCCCTCCGCTCCCCCATCCCCTCCCTGTGTGACAGTGGCCCTCCTAGGTCAGAGCTCAGGCCTGTTCCCTTTGGATGGGAGGTTCGTCTACTTGTCTTACATAGTGGAGGATACTTCTTGGCTCCTCGTGTTCCTCATTCGGGCTCTGCCTTCTGCTCACACAGCAACCACTTTGTGTGGGCGCCGTGGGGATGGCAAGGCATTGGTGTTGGACCAAGCAAGTGCAAGCCCTGCCCTGCGGGCCTTCCAGCCGCACTCCTAATGCAGGTGCGCTCGGCGTCTCCTGGGAGAGTGTCCTTGCCCCGGGCTGGCCAGGGGTGGGTGGGCCTTGTTGGAGCCTCCATCCCCCCTTGCATAGGCAGGTCTGGCCACGTGTCACCTGAAAAGGCTGGAGCTCTCCTTCTCTCTTCACTCTGTCCCCTGAGCATCTGGAGGGGACCCTTTCTGATTCGTAAAAGCCAGTGTCTGCTCAGCCTGAGAACCACCCTGCTGGGTGCAGCCTGGTGATGCCAGCTTACATGGCCAGCCTCTGGGTCCAGCCCAGGGGGGTGTCCCAGGGCCATTTCTCCCCAGAACATCCTCCTCCTTCTTTCCTCTGGCTGACATTTTCTCTAGATTCCCTTCCACTGACAAAGGTCTGGGCAGAGCTTCAGAGTCAGAATGGCCCTAGTCCAGTCCAGCCTCCCTACCTACTCTCCTGGGACCAGGGCACAGCACTTAATCTCCCTGAGCCTTGGTGCCCTCATCTGTGAAATGGGCAGAAAGCACTGAGGGTAGAGCAATGAGTGGGCCATACGCTGGGATGTGTCTCAAGCCCCAGACTGGCCCATGGGAGAGCCAAGCTAGGAGACCTACCTGGGTGCTGAGTTGGGTCAAAGTTTCCTTGCCCTGCCTGCAGCTTCCTTGTCACTGCTGTTTGATGACAGTGGGGCTGGGGCCAGGATTCTCACCTGGCTCCTGGCACAGCGGGTACATTTACGGTTTATGCTGATGCAGTGTTTACCAGGGCAAGGGAACCTACAACCGAGGTACATGCCCTTGACCAGGAATCAAACCCAAGACCCTTCGGTCTAAGGGCTGATGCCCTAACTACTGAGCAAAACCGGCCAGGGCAAGAAGTATTGTAATGGGGAATTATAGGCCACACATCTTAAAAGAAGTAGAACCCTCTGAGACCAGGATAGAGGGCGCCCTGGGCACTTTCATGGGCTTATTCAGACCCTCTGTGCCCTCATGATGCCCCTGGTCACCATGGCCAGCCCCCATTAGAGGACACCACACCTTCCACATCAGACAGTGCAGAGGGGCCAGAAGCAAGGGCCCACTTGGCTCCAGGACAAGAGGGCAGTAGGAGACGAGGCGTGCAAACAAACCCTCGGTAAACAGGCAAACAAATGTCACCATGGCAACATTGAACTCAGACCAAAAAGATGAGCAGGTCCTGGAGGAAGAGCCTTTGGGGTAAGAACAGAGGTGGAAAGTTCTGGAGGCAGGAAAAACCGATGCTTCAGGGAATGTGCTGTACATGGTGGGGCGGAGGCAGGGGATGGAGGAAATGGCAGGGTGGGGTGCGAGGTAGGTTTGGGCGCTCATCCAGGCCTCCTGGGTGCTGACTAAACACATAGAGTCTATTCTAAGTTGATAGGAGGCCCCTGGACAGCCATAAGCAGCAGTGACACAATTCATCAGACCATCAGAGATCAGTCTGACTGTGTCAGGAGTGAGGGAGAGCAGGGGCCATGGAGGGGCCAGGCCATCACGCCGGTGAGAGGTGAAGGGCTCTGGAGGTGAGCGGAACAGGTCACTTCCCGGGAATATTGGGAGGGCAGAGTGACAGACAGAGCCACAACACCAGTTAGCTTTTTGTACCCGAGGCAGAGATCAGACGTCCCCCAACAAGCATCGTGTTTGTTCAACAAACTGACCTTTGTTCTTCTCTTGGACTAGGAGAAGGTCTGCATGGGACGCTCAGAGGAGGACAGGGCCAGCCTGTCCAGGACCGAGCCCAGCCCTCCCTCCTGCCGGGGTCACTTTGGGCAGGGCCTTCCTTCCTGCTGGGGGCCCCAGTGCTGGACGCTCAGCACCTCTCCCTGGCCTCACCCCCTTGCCTCTCTCTGCAGACTCGCCTGCAGGCCGGCGTGGGCTATGGGAACACCCTCAGCTGCATCCGCATGGTGTACAGGAAGGAGAGTGTAAGTGCCCCTTGGGCGGGCGGGCGCTGGAGCCACCCCCACCAGGGCCTCCCACAGAATGGGGTGAAGCCCAGCCAGGCCTGGGGACGTGGCCACAGCCCTGCCACCGGCAGGTTGGGTGGAGGCCCGCCTGTTCCCGCTCATCACATTTAGCTCCATTTTCCCTGATCAGCTCACACCACCTAACCCTGCCACCTAGTGTGATGCTATGAGAGAAAAAACCTGGTTTTGTATAACTGCTTTGGAGAGATTCACCACAGTGTGGAAAATTCCTGCAAGAAACAGGGTGACCTGTCAGGTTTTCAAAACCGAGTGAGTGGCTGGCACCATGTGCTCACAGGCTTCCTTTCATCCAGCGCTGGGGCCAGGCGCTCCGCCATCATACGCCCACGGCTGGCTTGAACCACAGCTCGAGGCCCTGGGACCCAAGATCTTTGTTTGCAAACGGGGAAAGGCTGAATAATGTTTTGTAGAAGATGCATCAGGTGCCCTTCTTGAGAATTATCGGATGCTTTAGGGAGACTATCTAAGGCCTCTTTTGGGGGGATTTAAAATAAACTGTAAAATTTAGGATGACATGACCTGTTGATTTAAAGCAATGGCCAGGTGTTAGCCCCATGCCAGTCCCAGGCTTGTCTTCGAGTCACCAGAAATGTGGCCCCATTGTTGACCACTGTCCCCCTGGGACGTGGCCTGGATCTCTCTGATAGGCTGCTTTAGAACTGGGCGAGTCCTACCAACCTGGTACTAACTGTTCCAGGGTAATGCGCAATCCCTCAGTGCCCGGGAAGCGGTTGTTGATTCTCCCTGTTGGCACATGTCCCCCACGTGTCTGCCAGCCAGTGTCAGCTCCATGGTTTCTGTGGGGACCATGGATGTTCCTCTGAGACACAGCAGCTCAGGGCTTAGCAATGACCCAGGTGACCTGAGGAAGAGGGGAAGCAGGGCATGTGTGTGTGTGTGTGTGTGTGTGTGTGTGTGTGCTGCATGTGTGAGCAAACGTGCATGTGTGAGGTGTCCTATCTCTGGCACATAAGGTGCAGGCACACGTTTGGGATTAGCAGGTCTGCATGAGGCCTGAGTTTGTGCGACAGCTTCCAGGATTTTCACCTTGGGCGTGGGGTGGGGCTCAGATGCCGCCCTGACTCCTCCAAGGCTGTGGGATTTCCCGTGTCTACAGAGCATCTGTGCTGTTCACCAAGCTTACAGTCTGAAGGACCTTCTCCGCAGCCTCCAGTGTCCTGCCTGTGTGCAGAAGCCTTTCTATGCTGTTTCTCCCGGGGCTCTTTCCTTGAGCTCTTCTTCCGAGAGACACCCCTGCTCAGGGGCACCCATCTGCAGGCTGGCCCAGGTGTCCCTGGGGGCTGTGGCACCTCTTCTTAGTCCCTCACCACAGCATAGCACATTATAGTTTCACTAGAGGCCCGGTGCATGAAATTCGTGCATTTGGGGGGGAGTCCCCACAGCCCAGCCTGCACCCTCCCCAATTCGGGACCCCTTGGGGGATGTCTGACCCCCAGGGATCAGGCCTAAACCAGCAGTCGGACATCCCTTTCACAATCCTGGACCACTGGCTCCTAATCACCTGCCTGCCTGCCTGATTGCCCCTAACTGCCTCCCCTGCCAGCCTGATCTCCCCTTACTGCCTCTGCGTGCTGGCCTGATTGCCCCTAACTGCCCCCCCTGCTGGCCTGGTTGCCCCTAACTGCCCCCCCACCCCGCCAGCCTGATCACTCCTAACTCCCCCCCCCCCGCCAGGCTGGTCACCCCCAAATGCCCCCCTCTGCCGGCCTGGTTGCCCCTCATGCCCCCCCCCCGCCAGCTTGGTTGCCCCACACAGCCTGCTGTTCAGTCGTTTGGTCGTCCCTTACTAACCCCCCTGCTGGCCTGGTCGTAGGCAGCCATCTTTGTGAGGGTGTGACAGTCAATTTGCATATTATCTCTTTATTATATGGGATTTGTCCATCCAGATTCACCCCTCCCCCACTCCGCCCCCAGACCCTGAACTCAGGGAAGCTTTCCTTCTTATTGGCCCCAGGGCTGGCACATGTGTGGCAAGTGCCCAGAGAAAGCTTTTGTGGGAGTGGCAATGAGGAGGGTGTGTGTGATGCTTGGCAAGCCCACTTACCCACTAGGGCTCCACAGACCCCCTCGGACACAGCCTAAGACAACTGCCACTCCCTTCCTGTCACAGCATCCGGGGCAAATACTGGTTACAGGCCCAGGACACACCCTCTGTCAACAAGACTTTACGCAGAAGCCGGTTTCTCCTCAGGGCAGGAATGTCCTCACATCCATCTCCTTTCACATCTGCATCTGCCTGTGTCCTCTTCACTGGCACATGGATTTATGTCTCCCCACCAGCCTGCGGGAGGGCAGGTCTGTGCCCAGGACAGTGTGGGGAGCTTGGCACCGCCTGCAGTTCTCACGCTTCCTCTCCCGGTTTCCCCACAGGTTTTCGGCTTCTTCAAGGGCATGTCCTTCCCCCTGGCCAGCATCGCCGTGTACAACTCGGTGGTGTTTGGGGTCTTCAGTAACACGCAGAGGATCCTCAGCCAGCTCCACAGCAGGGAGCCTGAGGCCAGCCCGCCCCGTACCCTGTCAGACCTGCTCCTGGCCAGCATGGTGGCCGGCGTGGTGTCCGTCGGACTGGGCACGCCTGTGGACCTCATCAAGATCCGCCTGCAGATGCAAACACAGGCATTTCGGGAAAGTAAGAGGCCAGGGAGGGGCCTGGTGTCTGGGCACCTGGGACCCCCTCCTCATTTGCCAGATTTGGGGTATGGGGATAACATCCTTTCTATTGAGCAGGGCATCTATGTGCTCATGTAATAGTCTGTCATTATTATTCCTTTACCTAGATAGGTACTCTCACTGGTTACGTATTTACCATGTGCTGGGCATGCTGGGAGCTCTGCTTGTGTTCTCTTAATTCGTCTTTATGGCCATTCTGTGAGGCAGATGCTGTTACCCTTTCCATTTACAGAGGAGAAAACTGAGGCTCCCAGAGGTCAAGGCACTAATTCAGGGACACAATTAATCTCTGTGAGTGAGGACCAGCTACGCAATTTGCAGCGCCCAGTGAAAAGGGAAAATGTGGGATCCTTGTTCAAAATCATTAAGAATTGAAAAAGGGTAACAGCAGAGCAGGAAGCCAGGCACGGGGCCTAGGTCTCCAAGCCACACCTGCCCACGTACCTGTGCCTCGCACCGGGACAGGCCGCAGGGGCGTGAAGGGGACTGCTCCTCTCCTCGGCCCTGACACCCCAGTGAAAGCTTCGTCTCTCGGTGCGCCCTGTGGCCACTCCTGCACCTGTCACTTCCTCCTGCTGAGAGGCTCCCGCATCTTCTCCTGGGAGTGGTTCAGACCAAGGAGGAGGGAGGGTACCAGGAGGCACTTCCTGTGCTGAGGAGAAGGTGCCGGATCTAGAAGGATGAGCTGGGGGTCTTAGAAGACAAATTTCAGCACCTTGGAGTTTGGATCTTGGCTCTGATTTCACTCTGTCTCCTCAGGGAAGACACTGCCCCTTCCTAGGCCTCAGCCTCCTGCTCTGTATAACGGGAGGGCTGGATTCGTGACCCTTCCTGTCACCTCAGGCATCCAACGGGGCTAACTGCCCCCGTGGAGAAGACCCCTCTCCCCGGCAGCCTGCTGCGTGTGACCACAGACTGAGCTCCCAGAGCTGGCGCAGGAGCAGCCCAGCCAGCGGGTCTGCTGCGGCAGCCCAGGCGCCTTGATTCAGCCTGCGCTCCCTGCCCAGCGGGAGGGTGTCCGGGGCTGGCCTTGAACTGTTCCTCAGGAACCCTTGAGGCCAGAGGGAGAAAACTCAGACTCACTGGGACCAGGGAGGTCACAGAAGTGAGCGGAGAATGAAACCCTCTTCCCCTGGTTGCTACCCCACAGCCCTCCTGGCCTACGTTTCATTTTTCCTCTTTCCATTGAACACGGACACAGACGTCCTGCCCTTCCCACATCGCTCTGCCGTTAGAAAGGCAGTGGTGGAAGCACGTGCATCAGCTTGCGCACATCCTATCCGAGGGAGTGGCTAGATCCTGCTGACAGTGGCCACGGGGCCTGGATCTTTTGATTTTTAAGAGACAGCAGAAAGCTAGATTTATCTGTGGGGTCTTTCAATGGGAAATTATTAGATAATTCAATTAAAAACAAAGCCAAACACAACAGGACACCGCACAGCCCAAAGCACAGTGCAGGCGGGGGCTGGCTGCAAGTTGTGGTCGCTGCTCTGGGTCAGGCCCTCTCTGCGTGGTGACTGGGCTGAGGTGGGTGTTTCCAGCAGCCTTGAACAGGGCCTGTGACCCCTGAATTGCCCATGCACTTCCTGGGTGGTGACACTGAGCCATGGGAGACTACGCCCATGTGCCAAAGCCAAGTGCCAGAAGCCTCCGGCTTCTCTGCAGCTCAGGTCACTGCTTGACAGATTTGCAAATATAAAGCCAGTGGTTCTACTAAAGCCTGATTGTCCATTGGTGGTGACCCGTGGCTGAAAATGCACAGCATGGACTATAGAGGGAGAAGATGCCCATCCTCCCAAATGCAATCCCTGGGTTCTTTTTCTAAAATGTATTTTAATTGATTTCAGAGAGGAAGGGAGAGAGAGAGGAACATCAATGAAAAGAGAGAAATCATTGATTGGCGGCCTCCTACACACCCCCTACTGGGGATCGAGCCAGCAACCCAGGCATGTGCCCTGACCGGAAATTGAACCGTGACCTCCTGGTTCATAGGCTGATGCTCAACCACTGAGCTATACCATCTGGGCTACAATCACTGTTAACACACATTTCCTTTTCCTTTTCTATACAGATAGATTAAATATTTTAGGAGGTTATACTCATATTACCTAGGCAGTTTCATATTCTGTTTTTAGCTCAACATTATAACAAATATTTTTGTTATTAAAATAGCATATAAATTACTTTAAAATAGATGGATAATATTTTTAAAGGATGTGCAATATTCCATCAAATAGACACGCGCATTCAAAGACACACACACACACACACACACACACACACTCTGAGAAGGCTGATGCGTGTGGTCACAATTTAGTTTCTGGAGATAGACTACCTGCTTCTAATTCTCTGCCAGTGTCAAGAAACTTTGGACACCTCACCTAACATGGCCAAGCCTCAGGTTACTCATTTGCAAAGCAGGCATAATAGCAACTATTTTGCATCCGGGATGGAATGGGATAATGTTATACATGAAGGTCCTAACGCACTGAAAAGTCGAAACCAGTGCTAGCTATGATTTAGTAAGCTTATTATTTAACAGTCATTCTAGTGATGAACATTTAGGTGGTTTACAGTTTTTCCTCTTCTAACAATAGTGATGTTGTCAGCAAACTTTTCCATAAAGAATTGCCTTTATTTAGGATTACTTCCCTAAATGTGTGGGCTCTTTGATTCCTGAGAGGGTCAAAGGCTATGGTCATTTTTAAGATTCGTGGTACATGTGAAATTGGTATACAGAAGGGCTTTGCCAGCTTACATTTGGGGTTGCTGGAGGTCAGAGAGAGTTTCCATTGGCACTGACTGCCATTGCGTCCAGAACAGCAGTATCCCTCATAAACTCTTCCTCCTGGGCCTCTGCCACTTGGCAAACAAGGAAGAGCTGGCCTGAGTTCAGTGGGACGTGGCCTTGACAGCGGGCACCTGCAAAGGGACCCTCCCTTTTAGAGTCATCATTACCCTTTGCACAGTCATGAGCCCCACGGGGAGCCCTGCTGGCCAAGTCCCAGCCTGGAGGCCGATGGCCAACAGCACTCATTCCTCTCCCATCTGATCTGTGTTTTCAGTAAGAGCCTAATCAATATGCAGATCAGAAAGCCCTCAATACCACCAGAGGGCAGATTTGGGGGGTTAGAAGAGGCCTGGGCATTAACTCCGTGCTGGCCATCCCGGTGACTTCCCCAGGCCCAGCAGGAGGCACAGGGCTGACTGCCACACCTGTTGGAGTTCACTCTGACTCGTTCATTCACTGGTATTTCCAGTCCCTGCTCTGAGCCAAACACAGCAGGTAAATCAGAGGCATCAGGCCACAGCCCCTGCCTTCAGGAAGTGCAGTCTGGTGGGAAGTCAGATGTATAGAATGAGCAGGGCCCGTCGAGGACACTAGAACCTTGGAGCCTGGCGCTGTAGATCAGGAGGCTCCAGAGAGGACGTGGCTGTTGACCAGGTCTTTGAATACTGGCTAGGATTTAGAGACGGGGTATGGACTAGGAGAGGTGTTTCAGCCTCAGGCACAGTGTAGAGAAAGAGTCGGTGGCAGGAAAGGCAGGCACGTGGTGGGTCGTGGGAGCCTTGGTTAGTGTGGACGTGCAGTGCAGGGAGGGGAAGATGCGGGTGAGTTGTGAAGAGTGTGGCTCTCTTAGCTGAGGATGGGCTCAGGTGCGGGGCAGCAGGCATCGATGATGTAGAACCAACCAGCCATGCAGGAGAGAAGAAAGTGTCAACAATGGCCCAGGGATTTCAAAGTTGGGTGACTGTTGAGTGGAACCTCCCACATTGGGAATTAAATGGCAAATGACGTGTGTGAGACAGTGCTTGGCGTAGAGGAGGTGATCAATACGTGCTTATCGCCGCTGCTTGGGAACTGGCTGGCAGGCAGGCTTGAGGGAGGGCGTGATGAGTTTGGCTTGGCTCACGTGTGAGGTGCCTGTGGGACCACAGCTGGAATGTCAGACATAGAAGTGACAGGCACAGCCATGACATCAGGTACCAATGTCAAGGCAAGCTGCAAAAAAGCAGAGGATGGACATCCATGAGAAAACAGTAAAAAAATTTGGGAAGGAGCAGAGAGCTGTAATGACACTAACGTACCTTCAGTGATTAAGTCATCATAGCTGTGAATAGGCACTGTCATTCTCTTATTTGCAGGCGGGGAAACTGAGGCTCAGGTTAGGTGGCTCTCCTGCTCACTCAGTTGTTTCAGGTGGGACAGGGCATTTCCCGGGCCACCCAGCTCCGCAGCAGGGGAAACAGAGGCCCGAGAGACTCCTGTCAGCAGCGTCGGGCAGCAGAGAGAAGGGATTGCTGAAGTAGGGGTGACACTGGGCACAGAGACCAAGGGGTGGAGAAGGAAGAAGGCTTTCTTTCCAAGTTGGGAGAGGACAAGGAAAGAGGCATTTCAGAGAAAATTCTGAGGGCAAGGGGAAGGAAGGGAAGGTGCTGGCCTCTACCATGTTCAAGGTAATGTGCATAGAATAAAGGGGGCAGCGTGTGACCAGGATTGGAGGAGGAAAGGGTCCTGGTCTCTGGGCGTGTCAAGAGGAGCCCAGCTGGGCTGCGGGGTCAGAGAAGAGAGGTCAGTGCGGAGGCGGATCCGGACGAGGTCGTCCACTGCACCCAGAACACAAAGCCTGTGTGAGCCCAGGAATCCCCACGCTGACCACTGGGGTGAAAGCACTTCTCCAGTTTCCCCGCATCTTCAGCAGTGTCTGTCTGGGAAGATCACCAGCTGTGCCTCAGAGCCCTCCATACATCAGTTGGTCTCTTTGGCAGCGTGGTTTTATTGCTGCTATAAAGATGTGTGACTGCCAAGATAAACAACTCTTCCCTACGCAGGTTGGCCTTGGGAGGAGCAGCCTTCTGATACAATGGGTTTTCCAATACTTTGCTAGTGCAGGGCAGGACTTACTGATGCTAACTTTCCCAAAGGGAAGCCTATGTGGGAAGGCAGGAGCCCTCAGA